ATGTTCCCGGCTGCCAAAGGAAGGTCTCACTGTGTCTGTTCCATTTTCAGCAAATGGAGAGGATCCTGAAGAAAGCCTCCAAAACTCATAAACAGAGAGTGGAGGTAAGGGGCTGTGTGTGTTGGCTTATTCCCTCCCGTCGCCATATGTCGCTTCCCTGAGTCTGAGTTCTGGATTCTTGCCCCTTTCTCTCAAGCAATTTGTTCCCGGCTGCCAAAGGAAGGTCTCACTGTGTCTGTTCCATTTTCAGCAAATGGAGAGGATCCTGAAGAAAGCCTCCAAAACTCATAAACAGAGAGTGGAGGTAAGGGGCTGTGTGTGTTGGCTTATTCCCTCCCGTCGCCATATGTCGCTTCCCTGAGTCTGAGTTCTGGATTCTTGCCCCTTTCTCTCAAGCAATTTGTTCGTTCCCTCTGAAGCACTTGAAATTGGCCATTGCTGAAGCACAATGCTGGGCGAAATTGACCATTGCGCTGACCCAGTCAGGCCATTTTTATCTGGTATTGGCAGACCAGATACGGTACCAATTGTATACAGGACTATCCTGTATTTTGTTTCAGCTACACCAGACTAACACGGCTACATTTCTATCACTGTACCAGTTGTACTACTGGTTTGATCTGGAATTGCAAAGTATAAACATAGTGAAAGAAATAGCAAGGTCAGGTATGTCCGTATTATAGCCTACTTTTTTTTTCCTCTTAGGATTTCAACAGACACTTGGATGCTCTGACTGAACATTATGACATTCCCAAAGTTAGCTGGACTAAATGAATGTTTTCTCTTCCCCAGTTCTGGATTCTGAGTAGGCTTTTTATTTAAAGGAAATAATTGTACAAATCTCTGCTCTCCAAGTTGGATATTTTATTAATGCTATATAAACATTTCTTTCTGGTACTTTTTCATCATTCATTGTTTGTTTAAAACTTATGTACACAGCTTAGCCTTCTTCTTGAACTATTAGTAAAGGCCCTGAGCCTCCACTCAGGTGCAAGGATCCATCTTTGCAGAGCTCTCTGCAGGATCAGGGCCAAAGATATTTCAGGTTTATTGGAGAAATGTATCTAGTGTATTGTTCTAATGTTAGCTGATAGCTACCCCTTCTCTTTTTTCCTTTGAAAAGGGGAGATCTTTGACACTGTCCTACATAATAAACTTCATTTATAAATTCAAAGGATTATGTTGGTGATTACTTCTAGCATTATTCTTAAATATTCCTTGTTGAATCCTAAAACTCTTCTTACACTGCTTTTAACTTGTCAAAATAATCATGGATCTGCTATTTCTGTGGTTGGATTACATAAACAAGGGGGGATGGTGGCACTTTGTGCAGTGGCAGTTATCAGCCTCACCCTGTTGAATTGATTTATATTTACAATTCTTTATGCCCTTATTGGAAGAACACTAAGTGCCATTCTTGATTAAAACAATAATTAATTATGACAATATTGGGAGCAATAGTTTAATTGTTAACATTAATCTTGGGAGTTAATAAATAGAATCATAGAGGTCCCTTCCAGTCCTACATTTCGTAGTCCACAACTTCAGTCTCCTGTGCTGTGGCAGGCAAGTAAACTTAGCCTATACCTGATAGATATTTGGCCTCACTGTTTTCAAAAACTTGCAATGGAGGGAATGCTTAACCTCCCTTGGAAGCCTGTCCCAGAATTTAACTACATGGTTAGATTTAATTAATAGCTAATCTAAATCTTTATTACTGCAGATTAAGCCCATTGCTCCTTATCCTACATTTAGTGGACACAGAGCAACTAATCATGATCCTTAAATTTGGACAGCCCTTAACAAATTTGAAGTGTGTTGTCCGGTCCCCTCTCAGTTTTTTCAAGATAAAATATGGTCATATTATTTTAACCTTTCCTCATAGGTTTGTATTCCTAAATCTTTTATCATTTGTGTTGTTATCCTCTGAACGTCCTCTTGTTTGTCCACATCTTTCCTAAATTGGAGGACACAATTGGACACAATACTCCAGCTGAGGCCTCACCATTACTGCACAGGGCTGCCAACAGGGGAGGGCAAAGGGGGAAGCTGCCCCAGTGCCCTTCAATTTAAAAGGGCCTAGGACTTAAAGCCACTACCACTGCTTCCGTGGCAGTGGCTGGAGCCCCAAACTCTTTAAGGCTATGTCTACACTGCCATTTTGCTGGCAGTGAGTATGCAAATGAGGCATGAATTAGTATATTGTTGCACCTCATTTGCATAATTTATTCAAGGTGTTTTTGCACAAAGGGTTTTTGTGGGGAAAAAAAGTAGTGTGGATGTATTCTTTTTGCACAAAAACACCTTTTCCCACCATATCCTTATGCCCCAAAAAAATGAGGTTTACTTATCTGGCGGGAAAATGGGTTTTTGTGCAAAAAGAAAATGTCCATACTACTTTTTTTTCCCCTCACAAAAACCCTTTGTGCAAAAACGCCTTGCATAAATTCTGCAAATGAGACACTGGAATGTGCTCATTTGCATACTCACTGCTGGCATAACCGGCAGTGTAGATGTTGCCTAAGTTGCTGACAGGAACTGCAGCTCCAGCAGCATGATGCCATTTGCAAATTTTATACTCCTACTCTCCACTCCATTCTCCAAGTCATTGATGAAAATATTGAATAGTACTGGATGCAGGACTGGCTCCTGTAAGGACCCCGCTAGGTATATTCTTCCACTTTGACAGCAAACCTTTGATAATTGTGCTTTGAGTGTGTTTTTTTTCTCTCTCTCATAAACACTCCGTATACTATTTCCATTTAGCCTGTGTTTTCCTGGCTTGCTTATGACAATGTTATGTGGGGCCTGCCAGAGGCCTTTGTAAAACCAAGAGCTATCACATTTCCTGCTACTTCACATCTAATTGGCTATCAAATACTAGAATTGGAAGCAACCTTGAGAGGTCATTGAGTCCAGTCAAGTCCCCTGCACTTGTGGCAGGATCAAATACCTGCCTCTATACTGTTCCTGACAGTTTGTTTTACCTGCTCCTTTGGTACAGGTTTCATTTGTTAGCAGGTTGACACTAATGGATACAGTCCAGACCAAAGGGGGACAGAAATGCTCCATTGCAATATTTATTGGCCAAACTGGACAGTCTCTATGGAAAAGAATTAATAGACACAAATCAGATATCCAAAAAGGCAATACACAGAAACTTGTTGGAGAACACTTTAATCTTCCTGGACACTCATTAATGGATCTCCAAGTTGCCATTTTGTTTCAAATCAGTTCCACAAGCCAAATACACAGAGAAGGGTTGGAACTTAACTTCATTTACAAGTTTAATTCTTATGCCAAGAGTATGATCCAGGGATGTCAGATGGCTTGAACATTATCTTCCGCATCTTAATGACTTAACTAACCAACCAATGAAGAAGCTTCAGGGGATAGCCAAGTTAGTCTGTACAGGATAAACTTAAAAAACAACAAATGGTCTTAGCACTTTAGAGACTAACAAAACATGTAGACGGTATCATGAGCTTTCAGGGGCACAGCCCACTTCTTCAGATGGTCATTGTAGTAAGTTGAGGGGCAGTAACATGGAGTCAGCAGGCCTAAGGTCTGTAACATGAAAACAGCAACAGGCCTGCAATCTAGTGAGCAAGACTTTAGTTCAGTAACTTAGATACTGATAACTGTGTAATTGTGTAAGTTAGGTCACAGGGCTGCACCAAGAACAGACTGTAAACCAAAAGGGAGTAACGGAACATCTTAAGGAATGTCCTGGTACAAAAACTCCCTAAAAACTAATGCACATATCGACCTAGGTTCAGGACCAGGTCAGAATTGACAGCATGAAGGATAGTAAGTAAGCCCCCCTTCCGTAAGGTGAGGGGTGGTATCTAGGCAACAGAGTGGTAACCAGTACGTAAAGAAATGATGTAAGTTGTTTATACCTGTCTATAAAAGGACACCGCAGAGGGTGCTCTCCGGCTGAACTTGGGGGGAGGGGGCGCACTAGGCACCTGAACAGCAGGTGTCATTGCCTAAACTTACAGAGTGCACAGTAGCTTAACTTTGAATAACTGCGGTTAATATCTGATATATGGCAATAGGCCTGCCTGGTGTTGGTACCTTGTCAACGTGGGCCATAGTGCCCAGTGGTGTAACATTGTACTGATCTCTGTTACCAACTGGTAGGCTGCATCTAGACTGGCAATTTTTTCCGCAAAAGCAGCTGCTTTTGTGGAAAAACTTGCCAGCTGTCTACACTGGCTGCTTGAATTTGTGCAAGAACACTGACGATCTAATGTAAGATTGTCAGTGTTCTTGCGCGAATACTATGCTTCTCCCATTAGGGAAAAATGTATTTGCACAAGAGGGCCAGTGTAGACAGCTAAAAAGTGTTTTGCGCAAAAAAACCCTGATGGTGAAAATGGCGATCGGGGCTTTCTTGCGCAAAACCGCGTCTAGATTGGCACGGACGCTTTTCTGCAAAAAGTGCTTTTGCGCAAAAGCGTCCGTGCCAATCTACACGCTCTTTTCTGCAAATGCTTTTAACAGAAAAACTTTTCCGTTAAAAGCATTTGCGGAAAATCGTGCCAGTCTAGACGTAGCCGTAGAGCTTTGCATTTGACAAATAAACCTGCTCGATTGACTTTAAACCTTGCCTGCATCTGTCGTTCCCTGGGCCTCTCAGAGATCTGTGTTGACCCAAGTGCACGGGGTCTAACGCTCTAGATAAAGGGAGTACCAATTGTTACGCACGCAGCCGAAAGTTTATCATCACCAACGCAGAAGAGGTCCTGTCAGGAGCGCGCCAGGACGACCCTGACCAGACGACCCTGACACTGACAGTCCAGACCACTGAAGGTACTGAGGTACGAAGACACAGAGGTACCACAGTCATCTGAAGAAGTGGGCTGTGCCTATGCAAGCTCATGATACCATCTACATGTTTTGTTAGCACTTTATAGACTAAGACTATTTGTTGTTTTTAAGTTCAACCAATGAAGGTGATGATGGTTTTTTATGTCTGTAGAATCTGGTGTTAGTCATCTTCCTTTCCAAGTACTGTACAAACTAATGGGTCTTATCAGCCTCTTGTAACTATTTAGTCTTTTAAGGTGCTATTACACTATTTGTTGTTTTTTTAGTTTTTCCTGTTACAGACTTAACTCCGCTATTCCTCTGAAGCTTATCTACTCACTGTCTCTTTTTTTCTTCCCTCTCATTTTTTTCCTTCTCTCCCTTCTTCCTTTATTTATTCTTGTATCTGGACTTCCAATACTCCTGTCATTGGAAGAAGTAGGTTGTGCCCTTGAAAGCTCATGATACCATCTACATGTTTTGTTAGTCTTTAAGATGCTATTAGACCGTTTGTTTATTTTTTTCAAAGGGGGACAGTTAGTGGCATCCAAAAGGCCAAATAAGGAGCAGAAGTCACCAGAGCAGAGGGGTGGGTGGG